TGTCATGGATCTTCCTCTAATGCTCGTTTACACATGGCAACTAGAAACGGAGCCTCGGCAAAACCCAGACTCTTGTTTCCACTAAGCTATAATGACTGTTAGCACCTGTACAGCCTGTTGTACCACACATTATGTTTCTGCTACTGTCATATCATCAGCATCCTTTAGAGTACCCGACTAATGGTTTGAACCAGTGGATAAATGACTGTATAGGCAGATGATCGTCTTGTCCACGTCTCTACTGGAAGTACCATCATACATTAATCTGAATAACATAAGGGACTGTTAGGTGTGGACTACATCATGCTTAGTATTCTGATATAAAAACAAAGCAGCTAGAAGAGCAGGTACCATGACAAGGTTGCTCAGGATATATTAACATTAACACTGCATCTCACTTGCAGCCAGTGACTTGTGTCATACAGAGACAAAAGAATAGTTCACATATTTAAAAGCAACACAGGTAATGCTGGAGCTAAAGAGTCACTTATTTGCTTTCTGATAACAGTAGGCATCTATGAAAATGAAATGGCCCTTGAAAGCAGAATCAAAGAGAGGTTTATGTGCATGACTCCACTTCATTAGCCCTGCCTCCATGCAGACTGAAAGCAGTGCAGGATGAAAGGAGGATTTCTCGGCACAAACTCATCACATAGTACATACAACCCAGGGTCTGGAGTAGACAGGTCTCTCTCTCTCTCTCTCTCAGGTGCCATGTTTACCAGCACACCTCTGGCTGCTTGCTATTGGACATCCGAGTCAGTTTTGTTCCAAAGCTGTAAGAAATCTTTTTTTGAGGGTTTTAATTTGTGTTTCGATCAATGCACTACAGAACTGAAATTTCAAGTACAGCCCAGACGGTATTTGGACAGTGGCAGAGTTTTTTGTTCTTCAGGCTCTGAGCTCCAGAACACTTCGTATGATATAGACTGGTTGCTACATTAAAGTGACAAGTCTCAGCTTTGAGTAATAATAATAATAATAATACATTTTATTTATGGAGCACTTTTGAAGATGCTCAAAGACACTTTACAGAACAAGCAATAAGAACAAAAATAGATTTACATGGCCATAGAAAGCACTGTGTGGGAGCTAAAGCTTTTTTAACACATGGCGCCCAAATTGCAAAGTGGTTTAAAAGTAATTGGACACTTCAGTGTTTCCTGGGGAGCTGTGTGCCATGCTAACATTGGTTCATGCTCAAGGAGCTCACATGTGGCTCTAACAGTCAAGTTAATAAAGATCAAAAATATTTCAGAGAGAGAACATAGCTGGTTTACCGACATCAACAGCTGAGGACATTCTAAAAAAACAAAAACTATAAAATGGCGAAGATGAGTTGTGCGGTGAAGAAAGCCTCCTTTATGACTGCACAACAAGCCAAGATTGTTCTCCAGGATGTAGCCACACGCTTCCTTGCCAGCGATGAAGAGGAGACTTCATGACCAGAACCTCAGAGGATTCAGCTCAAGATGCAAACCCCAGGTGAAGCTCAGCAACAGAAAGCCAGGTTACACTTTGCAAAAATGTACAAAAGGAAACTGGTAGAGTTCTGGTACAAACGTCTACAGACTGAAGAAACAAATATCAATGTATTAAATGATGGAAAGAACAAAGAGTGAAGAAACAAACGAAGAGCTCATGACCCACAGCACCTCCTCATCTGTCAAACATGGTTCTGGCTGCCGGTGGAAGTGGTGAATTCAGAGATGGACAGGAGCATTCTGGGTAATCAGATTCAGCCAGATTCATCAGAACTCAATGTCATCTTTAAGCAGGACAGTAATCCTAAACATATAACAAAAGTAGACGAACAGCAACAAGATGCAGCGTCTTTGACTGTCGAAGCTGATCACCTGATCTCAGTGAGATTGAGCTGCAGTCCGCCTGCTGAAGACCAGACTAAAGGCAGAGACCCCATGACAAACAGCAGCTGGAGGTGGCTGTGGTGAAGGCCTGGGAGAGCATCAGCAGGGAAGATACAAAGTGCCTGCTGATGTCTGGTGGCCCAACACTTCAGGCAGCCGTTGACAGCAAAGCATTTTCAACAAAATATTGTGATGATTTTGCTTAACTTCATGTGTATCTGTCTAATTACTTGTGAATTTAAAAGAGCTTTATCTTCTGCATAGTTGTTGTTATTTTGATGTACAGTAAACCTGCTCCAATTAAAACTGAGATTAGTCACTGTAATGTAGGATTTGATATTTTGCTTTAAATTGAATTTGCTCGAGGAACAACAACAACAAAGTCATCTCTTTCTTTGTAAGTTTCATTTTTTATTTTAATAAGCTTACGTAATTTTAGCAGTTTAACAAATGGAGTTTATTTCCAGTCAGGTTTTGTTCTTTGTACAGTACAAGAGAATTTACAGTGCAGAGGTGTGAGGGCCAAAGCTGTTGTGTCCCACACCTGCGTGTTAGATTTGCCACTGCTGTTAGAGTCTGCCTTTGTTACCTTCAGTAACTGTGACAGTACAACAGAATCCCACCAGTGTGGATGATACTCTGACCTGGGAAATTCAGGTCTCCAGCCCCATGCTACATTATATATCGCTTATGTCTCAGCTGCAAATTAAGCCTTTTAGGGGACATCTATTAGCATTTCCTTTTTTATCACTAGTGAGTGGTTTGGTCATACATCAGCCTGGCAACGAATGGATGAAGATCACTGCCAGCTCTGTGATTTGTTCGCCTTGACATGTAGCCTGAAAGTATCAGCATATATTTAGATTTCTAAATGGCCTGCTAACGTAACTTAGCAGATGTTGGGGAGTCATATGGATGTTGGTGTAACAAAGACCCCCTCAGGTATTCCTCATTATTCTACTACTGAGCAGATGGCAGGGAAACTTACCACACTTACCATTATCCATCATACATATTCTGCTCCCAATTTACATACTGTAGCTGGTGCTTTGCAGGAGCTCCTGCAGGAAGGGTACCTAGCTCCGGGATCGCACTGAGACTCCACCTGAGGCCTCAGAAGACAGTTTGAGATGTCACTGCCGCTACGCCTCAAACTCAAATATGCTAATAGCTGTACAGAGGAATTCCAGTGGGTGTATCCCAGGTGTATATTTTTGAATTGTGAGGGGAAAACCCTGCAGATTGGTGATTTTTAAACAGTTCAGTATCAACTAGGAAATGCTTTACTGCAAGAAAATTGGCTTTTGTTGTAGTCAGGTGTGTTAGACATTATGTTAGTTAACAGGATTTATGCACCTATGTGCCCTGGCATTTCAGAAGTACATTGAAAAGTGCCTTTCAATCTCAAAACAGGCATACGCTGTCTTTAAACATTTACAGGCCCTGAAAACCTTTTTCTCCAGTCAGCTTCCTCCTGTGAACGAGGGGCTCCCAGACAAACAGAAGTCTCTGCCAAAGGTGGCTGCTTTGAATGACGGTTTTCTGTATTTGTTTATGTCTGAATTCTTCTGGCTGAGTTGGAGCAGGTGGACATCCATTGGAACAAGATGATGTCATTTACATCAGTGCACCAATCAGGATTTAGTAACACCTGAATAAAAGTCTTATGACGCCTGTGACTAGCTGTTTTGGGGTGTTAACGTATGTAATACCTAAGGCTATTTATTTATTTTTTTGCCAGACTGATTAAGTATGTAATACCTAAGGCTATTTATTTTTATTTATTTTTTTGCCAGACTGATTATTTAGTCATGAATATGTCAAAGTATCCTGTGAAGTTTTGGATCACTAGCATTATGGAGCAAGGTTTTTATGAGTGACTGCCTGTGGAGTTTGCTCTAGTGGATGCACATGCATGCTAGCAAGGAGATGACGCGATGCACGCTCCTGCCAGTGGTCTCATATGATTCTACTGATCTACAGGTGGTGGAAGTTCAGCAATGCACCAGTAGGACAGCTGAAGACTGCTAACATGTAAACATGGATCCAAACAGGTTACAAAATGATTATAGGACTGTCTTTGTAAATGTTTCATGAGGAAAGAAATGTATACAACACAACTGTGAGACCTCAGCGATACACATCCCCTTGAGTAGCAGTGAATGTAAACAGAAACGTGTTTCTTTGGAACAATTCATTGATTCCGATGGCCATGGTTAGTAAAGTTAGTAAAACGGTCTTTTTATGACTAAATGAATTCGTGCCAGTGAAGTTAAAGTTGCAGGTAGCAATCATAAGCATCCTGTGTAACTCTGGCTTGATTTTAAGTGAAGTAATACAACACTGTGGCACCCTTAAGTGTTTAAACATTCTCCTTATTATGTGTCACACGCGTGTGTATACATCCAAGACGATAATTGGCACAACACTGCTTATACTTTAGTTCCACACTGGAGCTTTTTTGCCCCTCCTCCTCCTCTCCTTCCTCTGAATGGCTCTCAGTGATCGAGCAGCAGCAGCGAGGCAGCACTGGGCCTGAAGGGCACTTTTCAGCCTGGCCAGGCACACTCGGGCCTTGCTGCTTGGCTGCGCAACATGGGTCACCGCCTTACATTAGGAGAACACTGCCAAAGTCAGCCAAGCAGGGCCTCGCAACATACCTGAAAATGAATAAACAAACCCCATGTACCACTGCCCAGTGCAGTGAAGCAAACATGTTTTATTCTAAGAGTCTGTTTACAATAGCATGTCATATCAAAATGAAATACTGGAGGTGGTTTTTATTACTCACCAGTAGATTGATCTTTGCTGCCATAAATCCTTAACCACATTATCTAACTAAACAAATTAGAGGGCTGGCCAGTGGTTCTGATCAGACTACCTTGTATCTTGGCACAACAGGGACATGAAATGTTCTCCTGTGGAGCCAGTGGGGACTCTAGCTGAGGTCAGAGGAAGAGACCAAAGCAGACCTCTTGTGTCAGCCACCATTATTTATTTGGACTTTAGGCTCTATCCATCACCACGTTGCCACACAGAACCGTCTCCCTGTTTGTAGGCTGCAGCCGCATCTCCCAGCTTCTCCTCTGCATCCCACCTATACAGCCCAGTGATCGACGTTTCATGAGAAGGACCTCAAGGTGGGGCTAAATGGTCTTATATTCCCAACGATGTCGCGTAGGCGGAGTCTGACTCTCGTGCTCTTTGCTATGCCGCTGCCTGCTCACCCTGTACTGTACATGACAAAAGCAAGAGGATGGAGTGAGTGAAATAAATTCATACTTCTTATTTCTCACAACCACTTTTTGTCATTTGGCAGGAAGAAGGGCTTTCGCATCACTGCGCCACATTAAAAACAAAACGTGTCCTAGTTCATGGTAGTTGCTCTTTTTACGCACACTACTCCAGTGAAGGCGGCAGCAGTTCAGATCAGATTTCACTTTCAGCTCCGACCAGCTGAGAGAGACGGCCAGAGAGCACGGGTGCTCGCTTCTCTGCCTTTCCCTCCGATACCCCCCTGTGTTCGGCGAGCTCCAGAAAAAAAAAGCTCTGCGAGGAAGAACCGGGTGCGCAGCGCAAATATAAAGAGCACCGCCGGGATTTTCCCCTCCTCTCTTCTTTTATGCATTTCTGCAGGATTTCGGTAGCGATAGCGCCACAGAGAATTGGATAGAGGGAAGAAGAGATGGACGAGCAGTCGAGGTTGATGCACTCTCATACGGGGGTAGGCATGGCAGGGCACCCCGGCCTGCCGCAGCATATGCAGGAAGGCACCGGAGGAACGGACGGCGACGGGAGGAAACAGGACATTGGAGACATTTTACAGCAAATTATGACCATCACGGATCAAAGTCTGGATGAAGCTCAAGCCAGGTAGGCAAAATGTGGAGGCTCTTCTTCCACTGGCAGCAGGAGGCGGCGGCGGCAAATCACATTAAAAATAAAAAGATGAAGGAAAAAGAAATCTAATAAATTTAAAGGTCTAAATGTGTAATATAGTGCAGTGCAGAGGCAACGGTAAATGTGAGGGCACCGTGTGCGTTGTGCAAAAGCCAGAGGAGTGCCAAACACCGATGGCATGCCTTCATATCACTAGTTTGGCTCACATTTAAATAACTCGGCTACCGCGCTCTTTAAAGGCTAAATAAAAGTGTGTGAATGTAGTGTTTGTTATTGTATTGTTGGTGTTTATTAGAAGTATATATTTGAAACACAACACATGAATACAACTAAGACGCATTTGTTGGTTATCACAGATATACAAGCGGTTTCATTTGTAAATGAGTAAACAGTTGTTTACAGCAGGACAACTTCTTACACAATCCACAAGAAATTCACTGAAGCTGCAATTCAGTCACAAAGATTCTACATAGAGTTTATTTCAGAGAGGGAGTCAGAAAGACCATTAAATCTGAATGATGTAACTATATAATCACAGAACAATCGCCAAAGCTAAATAAAATAAATGCTTTGTCAGTAACTTTGTATATAACTAAATGAACATAGGATTCTGAAGCATGTCATTTATTTGTTTGAAAATAGTTGTTATTCGTGCCTTATAGTGCACAGTGGCATTAATCAACACTTGTATGTTTCAGGAAACACGCGCTGAACTGTCACAGAATGAAGCCAGCTCTTTTCAACGTCTTGTGTGAAATCAAAGAAAAAACAGGTAAGTTCCTATCAGTTCTCAAAAGAACACCTAAACACTGCACTTCTGCTGTCTGCAGGAAACACTGCGAGTCTCCTTAACCAGGCTAAACGAATCCAGTGGTGCACACAGTATTTTTCACTAATGGGACAGAAACACTCCACAGAGGCACAGCACCGGCTCTGTGTGGCTTGTTCTATCATCAAATGCTCATTTGCTATTCAGCCTCAAATTCACATCGGAGAACGTGATGTTGGATTTTCAGTCACAACACAATTCACCGTATAAATTTCAGTGACATGTAAGACGTGTTTCCTCCCGTAGCTCCAGAGTCTGCACGGTTTAACGGTTGCACAACAGGAACTGTGGACAGTTGCCTCACACAGTCCCTATCAATTATTGTGTCAAAATATGAATGAGCTTTTTTTGATGCTATTGTGGAATAGTAGAGTATTGAGCAAAATTGTCGTAAGCACATTGACGTCTCCCCTTGTGAGTTAACTGTCAGGTCTGGTGAATACGTCTCTTTCTATTCTGTATTGTGTCTCTCTATTAAAGCAGTTGTGAGTGAGCATGTCAGCAGAATAATTGCTAGGAGAGAAATAATGTAACATAGGAGGCGTAAGTCATGTTTCCAAATCATTTCCCTGTGACATTTTTGAAATTGGCACAGATAGAATTCAGTGCACTTCAGACTGATAGCGTGCATCTCATCTTTTATTTCCCTATCTTTAGACTGATGTTGCAGCAGGACTCTTAGGCACTTGCGCTGCTGAGATACCGAGCTGTTAAAACGTGTCGGTTCGGCTTGGTTTTCTGTGGGTTTCACACTCATTAGTGCGTGGAAACGAATGGAACGGATGGAAGATGAAGACCATGTTATTTCCATTGTCTCCACAGTTGCACTTGCTCATACTTGACCTCTGTGGTGCCGATGACTGCTGTTTGTTGTGTGTGTGATCCCACCGTCGCCTGGTGCGTTCATGGGTGTTTTCATCGAAGTTCACCTCCCTGCCTCCCCCCTAGCCCGGCACTTTATCTTGAATCGGCCACTGCCTCAGGAGAGAGCAGGGGGCCTTTTGAAGCCTGCTGGCTCGCTCCTCTTTTTTTTTTTTTTTTTTTTTTTTTTTTTTTTTTTTTTAGGGGAGTGACACAGTTATGCATAGTGTTTTACTCCCTGGCGCTTCTCGGAGTTCATCCAAAGTTCGGCTCTGCTGAGAGTACAAAGTAACTCGGACCTCTTCCTGCCTGTACAGTCATTCTCTTCTCTTTCACCTGGCAACCTATAAATACACGGTGCAGGCTGTGGAGCTTTACACTAGAGATCTTGTGCTTGTCTTGTTTTTGTAGACTTCACATTTATCCACTTAGCTTTGTTGCAGGTTTAAACATTTCACATTTATTACAGTTTATAAAGAGAAGAGTAGCTGTTCTTTGTATTGTAGAGGAACGTGGAGAGTGAATAAAACATGTTTTTTGGTGTTTAGGATTAAGTGTTTTTATTTGGCTACAATATTTAATTATTCAAACATTATTTCACCTTTTTCAGTCTCAACACTTTGGCGCTTTGACCCTGCATTTACTATGGATGGGATGATATCATTTTTTCTTGATATGATTCATGATGATGCATGATATGGTGTGTATGGTTTGATTCAATCATGAATTAAAAATTCAATGACAACAGTGTATGGCTAGCTGTGGAAACCTTGTACTTTATTTGACTGTGTAAAGAACAACCAGACATATTGACCTACGTTCTGTCAGGCTGTCTTATTTACAAAGAATCACTGGTGTATGGAGACCACACAGTATATATCACTAAACAAAATGATGCATATTGTGACATTTTTGTAGCACATTATATTGAATTTTGATATATTGTCCCATCCCCACCATTTACCAGTAACAAGCTGAAAAACAGCATGAAAAAAGTCTCTTTACTGTCCTGATGAGCTCAGAACACTGTCAAGTTCACTCCCACTGGTGAAATAGTCCAGATTTGGACTTGTGAGTATTGATTTACTCATGTCTGTGTAAAAGACAGCAGCTCTGGACTGAATACAAGTATTTACTTGTATAAAAATAGTAGAAAACACCGCAGCTCATTGCTCCCTCTAGTGGTTCAGTCTCCTTTTGATACTGAATTAAGACACAGAGCTGAAGTGGCTGATGGGAATTATAAAATGTTTTTGTCTTATTTAAATGTTTTTTTTTTTGTACTTTAATTTTTACTTAATTGTTTTTGTTTACATTTTCTTATCTGAAGTTGTGGCAGTCAGCACAATGCAAGGAGTGAGGCTGTTTGTGTTGGAACGTTGGCAGCATCATGTGATATGTGTAGCACTGGATTAGTGAAAGAAGTCAGGTTCCCTTTCTCCGTGCTACACCTAATTATACACTTTTAGAGGTGATCGACAACATGAGCTGTTCACTGTTTCACAGAATGCTTGGTTTTTATTTTGTATTGTCTCCTCCTTTTGAACCAGCAGCCAAACTTCCCCAGTGAACACTGGTAGAGTCAAAGAGCTAAGCTTCAGCTGAGCCACTGTAACTTTGTCCCAGGTCTGAGTGCAGAGACAGTGTGTATCCACTGAGCTGCTCTTTGCTTGTGTATATTTTCCATCCCTTCCTGTCCCTGGAGCGGCTGACAGCACCTGCAGGGCACAATGCCAGTGTTGATCTAGGGCCTGAACTTCTGACCCGCTCTGTGTATTTTTACTGGGATGAGGTGAGAAATGGCCAACAGAAATATTGTGCAGTATAAACAAGCACAATAGTGCACCTTCACCCGGGAGGAAAGGAGAAGGAAGAAGCACTTTATTTCAACCAGCACCTCTTTAAAAAAAAATAAAATAAAAAAAAAAAATTGACAGATATCACTTCGTCTTTAACTGGTTTTATTCCAGGCATATTTGGGCTGTCTTTTTTCTGTTTTCAAAGGAATGCTGTTTTTCAGGCTCTGTGCATAATTCTATGTGTGTGTGTGTGTGTGTGTGTGTGTGTGTGTGTGTGTGTGTGTGTGGGGCATAACGCATTCATAAGAAGAGAAAAAGCATGAATTATATAAAACACGGAGCAAATGTAAAAGCAGCAGAGTTGCTGTGTGTTGCTGTTGGTCCTGGCAGTGCCCGTGGGCAGTGTGAGGACAGGTTCTCAAGAAAGATACCCAAACTATTTGACCCCACTGCGACTGGGCTGTGAAACGTGAACCTTTCACTAACTATATTCTTAAAGGTAACAGGCTAATAAATGTTAAGACAAAATTATATGATGCAAATATTCAGTTTTTGTACAGATGCACTCTTTTAATCTGTGTCGCTGATCTTTTAAGGTGGACCGCTTTCAGTTTTGTTCTTGTGAATGATGAAAGGTTACTTTAGATAAGCAAATGCTTGACATACTGATTTGGAAAATGAGCTGCCTTGACCTCTGTAAACACCTCACCGATGTCGTAAATCTTTAGCAGTGTCAAACAAAACCACTCCACGACCGTGCTGTTCGGTAAATGTGCTGCTCTGACTTGCTGTTTAATTTTTTCCCTCTCAACCTCAACAAAAGACCAACTTTCTTGTGGCCTGTGTTTTTATAGTGTAAGGTTTCAAGCCGAGGGGACCCTCTATTTATAAAAATGACTAGCCGAGTGATGTAATGTTATTTTTTGAAGGGTGAAAATAGGGTGTTTTACAGAGGGCAGCCGAGCAGTTTGACAGGATGAAATGAAGCAGAGGTCTGATTATGGAAGGTGCATGGAAGCCTACACCACACTGACTTGTCAGTCCATTCAGAAGCTTGGCATCTGCCTATTTGTATTACAGAGGCTGAGCTCAGTTGGCCGTGCACGTCACTGCCTAAACACTAACATGAACACATAATACAGTCTGATGTGCTGCTGAGACAATTAGTTGATTAACTGATAAGTTAACGGATGTAGCAAAATAAATCTGCAACAGTTTTATACAGAAAGCGATTAATCATTTGGACGACATTCTGTGGTACCAGTCGGGTGTTTCTGCCTTTCTCTGTTTTATTGTATTGTAAACTGAATACCTTTGAGGTTTGGACTACTACAAATCATTTTTTTATCACTAAATGTGAAAATTATTTTCTCAGTTGATCAATTCATAGTTTTGTCCAGTGGCAATACAAACCCCAGTGATATTCACTAGATTAACTATAATGAAAGACCATGAACTGTAGCAAATTCTTGCATTTGACTCACAATTCTTTGACATTTTGCTTCAAGAATGACAAATGGATGGTTTTTATAATTGTTGCCTATAAATTTACTGTAGTTCTAGAGAAACAAGATATTTGAAGATATCACTTTGGAAAACGTGACTGACATTCACATTTTATAGATAAAATAATTAACTGGCTAAGTGGAAAAAAAATATTAGTCAACATTCAAAATAATCATGAGAAGCTGCAACTAACAATTATGTATGTAGTCATATCTATCAATCCACCAGTTATTTTCTCAGTTCAGTGGTTAATCATTTGATCTGCAAAGTCTTTGAAAACAGTGAAAAATCACAGATTTTCACAACATCTCTTTTGCTTGTTTTGTCAAAACAAAAGGCTAAAACTGGAAGTTTACTATCACATCAGAGAAAGAAGATTTCAGACAATCATTACATTTTAAAAGCTGGAACTTGTGAATTTCTGACATGTTTCTTTGGAAAAATGACTTTATTATAACTTAATATCAACATATTAATCAACTAATCTTTAGTTGTAGCTCTGGAATTTTCCAAAACATTTCCAGGTTACCTGATCCCGGTGTGACGCTACTATCAAAACTCCATGTTAATGAATATGCTGTATGTATTAACAATTGTAGGGCTTGTTGAAAGTCCCTGCAAGTGGAAAGCAGAAGGTAGTCGCAGTGTTTGTTGCCTTCTCTGCATTACACGCTGA